TGTTTAAATATTTTAAACTAGGGTTGCCAGGCATTCTCGACACGTTGGCGGAGGGGGAGTGATCCAGGAGGGGGAGAGGCCCCACCCCCAAACAGGAGCACTGCAGTGCAACATCCCTGACATGATGACATCATCACGCCAGGGACATTGCCACACGACATTCTGGTTTAAGGGCAAAAACTGTATAGTTTTACCATACAGTTTTGGCCTCTTTTGCATTTAAACTAGAGCACTGCGCAGTAATGTCCTCTCCATGGTGACAGCACTCACGTGTAACATCATCACAGTGGGAACGTCACCACATGACATCCCTATTTGGGGCGGGGCTTCCCCTGCCAGCCTTCTGTCCAGCAGCAAATAAAACCCACAAAATCGGGGAGAGAGGGCGGGAATCCCCTGCCCCCACCTGGGGACGGTCATCCCTACATGCCGCACTGAGTAAGGCTGCATTATGTGCATTGTTTTGATAAAGGTAAAGGTAAAGGTTCCCTTGCTCGAAAGCCAGTCGAGTCCAACTCTAGGGTTGCGGTGCTCATCTCTGTTTCAAAGCCGAAGAGCCAGCGCTGTCCGAAGACGTTTCCGTGGTCATGTGGCCGGCATGACTAAACACCAAGGCGCACGGAACGCTGTTCCCTTTCCACCGAAGTGGTCCCTATTTATCTACTTGCAATTTCTTGCTTTCGAACTGCTAGGTTGGCAGGAGCTGGAACTAGAGATGGGAGCTCACTCCGTCATGCGGCACCTGGGTCTCGAACTGCTGAACTACTGACCTTCCACAGCCTGCAGCTCAGCGTCTTAAATTATGCTCAGGGATGCCAAGGGAACCCAATCAGCAAAACATGTTCCTGACACCGTAAAATGACTGCCACTAGATGGATGATCAAAACGTGTCAACTGGAAAGACAGTACCCCTCCCGTGCTGTTATTTTGACTCACTGCTGCTCACGCAATTGATTTTTTAGATTTAACGGTTGACCGTTTCCACTGGTCTGACCCAGCAGGGCTCTTCTTGTGTTCTTGTGAAGGCCTCGGCCTCTGTGCCCTGTTGCTAGCCCTCCAGAGGAACTGGTTGGCCTCTGTGTGAGACAGGATGCTGGACTAGAGGGACCACTGGTCTGATCCAGCAGGGCTCTTCTTATGTTCCTATGAAAGCCTCGGACTCGATGCCCTGTTGTTGGCCCTCCAGAGGAACTGTTTGTCCACTGAGTGAGACATGATGCTGGACCAGAGGGACAACTGGTCTGATCCAGCAGGGCTCTTCTTGTGTTTCTCACACGGGTGCTACCAGGATCACAACACAATAATGTATTTTAAATGTTCTGAACACACCAAAAGAGGCATATAAGTACAACATCATGTTATCACGAAGCCATCTTACAGCAAGGGCCAAGCACTTCACTTGCCCTTTGAATGAATCAGAACAGACCCAGGGCAAAAGATTTTAAAAAATGGATCCCTGAGAAATGTTCTCCGCCTCTCGTGGCAAGGTGGCTGGAATGCTAAGTTTAAGAAATACACTTCCAAACAGCCCCTGTTTCTTCACCATGGCTCCGAAAACATCATGGCCTTTCCCCAAGGAGAAGAAAGAAAGGGAGAAGGCGGGGGTGGTGAAGGGGCGCAGTCTAGGAGCAGTTGTAGGAGAGCCGGCAGGGCACCAGTGCAGATTTTGGGAATCAGAGTGGGAGACAGCACTACCAGCAGACTGAAACCAAGGGTAGCTCAGGGATCGCCACACAAACGGACTGTGCCAGGAAAGCCCTAGAAAGGAAGGGCTCGATAGGATGCTTATCTGTGCAATTTTACTGCTGCACTGACAACTTCAGAAACGGAGCTCCCATGTCCTGATTTATACACGCAGCAGAATGAGGTGGGGGAATAGGGTTGCCACTGCAATGTTCCCTCTAAGCTGTGATTTCTTGTGAGCAAAAATTCTACTTTGTGAGCTACTGGCTTTATAGTTGTGAGCGAGCGATTTGGCTACTGCATGAATTAAGTTTGCTCTGGAGCTGTCTTTCCTGAGCGAAGACAAAAATGTGTGAGCCGGAGGCTAAAAAACTGTGGGCTAGCTCACACTAACTCAGCTTAGAGGGAACACTGGTTGCCAGTCTCCGGAGGGGCCTGGAGATTTCCCGGGATTACAACTGAGCTCCGGATGACAGAGATCGGTTCTCCTAAAGAAAATGGCTGCTTTGGCGGGTGGACTCTATGACAGTATACCTCACTGAGGCCCCTCCCCTTTCAAAATTACATCCTCTCCAGGCTCCACCTCCAGATATTCAGGAATTTCACAACCTGGACTTCATTCTGTTGTATTTAAAGGAGGATGTGTAGGCTCGGTTTCTGAAGAATGGCTGAGAGCCGTTCCACACCTTATGCAGAATGAGTAGAGAACAGTGTGAACCAGATTGCTAGACCTGGGCAGGGATTGGTTGGTTTGTTTTTTTTAAAACCCACCCTGCATGTAGAAATGCAGCTCATCAGGGAGCGGGCTACGCTAAACTTTCTTATATTTTTCAATGCTCCTTGCATGCAGAAAGCTATCATATCAGGGAGTAATTGAGTATGGCTACTTTTCTACATTCAGGGAGCATTCAGAACTATGACACGGATACACATCTCAGAAGCAAGACAATCTAGAGTTCTGTCCTCTCGCTCTGCATCTGAGTCTCACGGGGAGCTTCACCACCACACGACTAGGAAAGGAAGCAAAACTTTTGTTTTGTCATGGGTCCAAAACAGTCTCAAATGCCTTTCTTTGCC